GTAAGTGCGTATGAAATGGCAGCCTAGTAGATCGTTTTTGAAGACAGTGTCTAACTTTAGCATATGCATTTATTATATACGGTGTCTGAACTAGGAGTTCAAAAGTGACAGTGATCCTCTTAAAAATAAGTAAGGCTTTGATAGAAAAATGAGAAAGGACTAGTTTTACAAATGCAGAGTAAAAACAGTCAACGTTATTTAGTAGCTCAATAAAAACACTGTGAAAGAAGGCACCACATTGTATGTGCATGTGCAGAAACACAGAGTAGTGCACACCTTTTACTTTTCAAACAGTGAAGTTCATGTCCAGGAGGCATGGTTCTGACGGCATTATAGATTGAGATGTATCTTTCTAAAGCGTTTTGGCATTAGGTATCAAGACCTCTACATATCATAAAACATTTTAATTTATATCAACAAAGATTTGTGTTGGGTATGGCCAGGGTAATTCTTCAGATTGTCCTCTGCAGAGAGGGGCCACATCTGTATGTCAGGCACAGCACAGAAATGTCACTTTTAGGGTCATGGGTGGGTTTAGGGATCAGGGTTTTCTTGCCACACTGGAGCAGCGGTACCCTGGTGTATAAACACAGCAGCGCTGGAGGCGTGTCTGGACTGAGGTGCTGAGGCTCCACGGCCACACTAGCGCACACAGCAGTGTCTCGTTCTGTAAGAGCTTCAACTCTGCTCTGTCTAGTCTATGTAGGCTGAGAAGGTTGTATCTTAGTTTAGTGTGGAACTACTTCATCACAGTCTATTAAGTTTTCTTTCTTCACTGCCCTGTGATGATTATACATTCCTCCCATGGAATGTTCTTTTTATACCTTATACCTTCTTTTTCTTCTTGCCCAGATTGTATTCATTTTCCAAAATCTACTTCAGCTACCAGAGCTCCATAGCGTCATAAAATCTTTCCTAATACCTGATTTCCAGGCTCTACTCCTAGCTGGAATTCCGTGATTGCTGCAGCACTCTGTGTAGCTATTTCTCATGATACTCATGTTCACCTTAAATATTTTAATTGCTATACTAAGACTAGACATTTTTAGAGTGCACAGTCTTTTTCATCATAGTGTCTCCTATGGAGTGGAGATACACACTTTTAGTGGTATATACATAAACAGACCTTGTGATAAATATTTGGTGTTGGGTTTTTTCTTTTTTAAACATGTATATACAGTTGAACCTATTCTAATTTCTGATTTCTTCCCCTCACTGTATATCTAACCCAGGGCCAAAAAATTTTAATTTCTGATGAGTAGGATGGATCCATCTCACCTGTTACTCTGTCTCTCAAAAATTTTTATAGACTTGCATGTTTCCTTTTTCTCAAATAGACACAGAATACCTTGTCAAGTTCTCAGATTTAAAACTTATCAGATATTTGTTGGAATTATGTAATAATGCACTTTTTGTAATAGAGTCTGATCTGTGAGTATAATCAGTAGGCCCTTTATTTCAAGTGCTCTTTTCTAAGATAGCTTTTTAAATTGCTCTGTGTATATTAAGGGGAACTTAAAAAAATTGAATTCAGTTATGTTTTATCATATACCCAAGTGGAGGAGAACTGCAACCTAGGTGGAAAAGGTTGGACTTTTCCATGGGGTTATTTCAACACCATTTATTAATGCAGTTAGATTTATGTACCATCATTTGAAATACTGCAAAGCTGTAAATGTGGCTGACAATGCTCTGAAGTCATAACTCTTATATTTTATGTTTTGTTGGAGGCAAAGAAATTTTAACACTTATTGAAGAACCTCTAGGTTTATAGATAAAAGATCCTGGATTGTCTAATTTACATATTGTCTAATATTCACTACTTTTGACCTTTGATTTCAAAGGGTGAAAACAATTACAGGTGTTTTATTATTTCATGATTTACTAAGAATTAAACAGAATCAATAGAGCTTTTCCCCCATAGTGTTATGTAAGTGGCACTGGTTTTTCTTCTGTGGTTTATGCAAGTGGCCAGCCAAGCCACTTGTTTTATTTCTGGGTGGCTGCAATAGGTCTTAGGGAAGGAAGTTTTCGTTTGGCAGGAAGAGCAAAACTGTGTTTATTCATTCCATTTGTAGTAGCGTTGATCCACGAGGAGCTTGTGAGAAAAACCAGCGTGGTTAGGCTTTGAACATAAGTAGCTCCCATTCATCTCTTATCTGATCGAGGAAAGTCTAACAACAGATTAAGGATTAATAGTATAGCAGCAGTTAGAAACAGTACAAAGTTCTGAAGCAGAAGAAGTTGCAGACTGATGGTTCATCAACCAAACACAGCCCTCAGACTCTTTATTTTGGCCTACTGAATGTTTTCAAAACTTACTCAGTTACTTCATAACATCTCAAAATGGTTTTATATGAGCACCTAGCAGTGGATCACGTGCATTTTTAGCCTGACATGTTAGTATCTGTGGCAATCTATAGACGAAGCCCCAGTTGGCACTTCCGACACGATCTCAGCATCTCACTTTGCACCACCTGTTCTGGATGCTCTTGAATACAGAAGTAATAGTAGATCTAATACTGTTAATGCAGCTCAACCTTCGACAGTGAGTAGATAGGAGGTAGAATAGAAAGCATAAAGATTTTAGGTAGCGAGAGTTTCAGTTGAAAGGGGATATGTGAGAAAGAGTAATTGCAGAGAAATCCAACGTTTTTAACTGAGCAACTGTAAGGATAGAAGTGTCATCAAATGATGGGGGAGACTGCGGGTAGGTTAGGCATGGGGAGTGAGATGAGGAGTTCAGTTTTGAACATGTTAAGTTTGAGCTATCTGTTAAAACATCCTAGTGGAGATACTGAGTAGGGAATGCTATGAAAGTGCAGAGATGGAGAAGTGTCTGGACTGGATAAATAAATTTGAGCAAGTTTTAGATTTTGCTAAATTTAGACTCAGAGAGTTATGAGATAGGATGAAGTCACAAGGAGAGCGGAGGACTTGCAGCTGAGTCCTGGGACATGTCAGCATTCAGGGATTTCAAAAAGTTCAGCACAGGAGATGAAGAGGGAACATCCAGTGAGGTGGGACAGAAAGGAAAGGAGGTGTGCTGCCCTGAAGGACAAGGGTCTAGACATGTTTTCACCTCTTACAGCAGAGCCCAAGACAGGGACTCTTCAGACAGGTGATTTCTTGGGAGAAGTGTTAATGAGAAACACAAGTTGGAGAACTGGGGCAAGTGACACAGAAAAGGAAAGTCAGTCTAAGGGAGTGTTATTGACCTGGTCACTTGTGTGAGCATTTGGGCTTGATCTTGAAGAAACCCCCTGAGAAGATACGAAGAATACGCCTATTGGTGGGAGGAAAAGGGTGTTTGTCTACCAGACTTCATCTCACCAATGGCCAGTGATTGCCCAGGCTCTTGGTATTAACACCTTCATACTTCCAGGTTTATTATGACTCAGGATGGCCTAAGAGTTCCTGTAGGCGTCTCTTATTGCAAAGCCTCTGAGCAGGAAGTGAGCCCCACCAGTGCAGCAAGCCGCTAAGGGGAGGCGCCTCAGCTGGAGTAAAAATAGAGGCGGGGCAGGAGGGTGTCCTGTGCAGCCCACCATTAAGTGCTTGCCATTTAGTTCCACCTACTACTAAGCTATCAAGATGGTGGCTGACCAGTTTCTACATTAGACTTATGACAGAAGGCTTAGTGGAATGATGTTCATTAGTTCAGTCAGCTACTAAGTTTGGATTGTCCTCACCTTCAGCCAGCACCCTTCAACAGGCTGCGGCATTTTCCTGGTGGAGTGATCCGGACTTTCCTCCCCAAGGGATCAGCGCCTGCGGCTGCTTTATGCTTTCTGGGCTGTGTTGCGATAGTTGTCCATTTGCGGTTGTCAGTGGGCATGGCAGCCTCAGTCCCATCCCCTGGGTTCTCTGTACACTGTCTCTTGTGTAGGAGCTGCCACGAGTCCTCATGGTTAGGGGTCAGTTTACAGGACCCTCTCCCATTATTCTCCTGTTGGTTATTGCTTCAGAATTCTTCTTGCATCTCCTGACAGAAGGGCTTTCCCTTCTCCCCTAGAATCAGAACTTTTAATTCAGTGGACCCTAAGTTTGCCAATCTACTGTTCATCTTTTGGTTCCTATATATGTATAATTTTCCTTCTTTCTTTCCTTTTTTTTTTTTTTTACTCTGTCAGAGATAGCACCACATTTCTACCTGGGGAAGAGTGTGTCAGATCATGTACCACTGGGAAAACTCTGCCCAATTCCCTCAAGGTGCTACCAGTTTTTTATACATAGGAAGTTTTGTTATATTTGTTAATCTTGGGCTTTTGGGTTGTACCAGATAAATAGGGAAAGAAATCTTCTCATAAAAGTGATTAGTTACATTAGTCAAATGTTTGCCCTCATTCTATGTGAATTCAGCTAGTCATATGGCTATCGTTGTTCTTAGTTGCAAAGTTAAATTCATTCTGAAAACTTTATTTCACCTAAAATTATTTAATAAGGCTTTGAAATAGTGAAACCAGTCCTTGAGAGGACTTTGTGGTTCAGTGAGTTTAGCCAGATGTGCCTCTGTCATTATTGTCATGGAATATAAGGATCTTAGTACTTGTAGTAAAACTGATTTTCTAATACATTGAAGCTGAACTTAAACTGTGATAAGAATTTAACATGCCTCTTTTGATAATTTTACAAGAATAAGGAGGAATTGCTAGTTTTTTCTCTTATCATCTATTTATTTTTTTTCTCTTGCTACCTCCTGCTTCATAAGCTATGATGAGAACTGAGTACTTGGTACACCTGTTTGTCTTTGAATATCTTGATGGTGACAACTAGGGTATATCACTTACTGATATTTCTCAGGGCTTAAGATAACGCCTTAGTAAGTCCTCCATAAATAGTTGTTGAGTTAACCCAAGAGGGGAAGGATATGGCTTATACATGTGATATATGATAGAATTGATGAACTTTGTGGTTAAAGTTAGTTTTAATAAAATTAAACTTTGCTTTAAATTATAATAATGTTTCAGACTGTCTTCATTTTTCCTTTCTTTAAACAGACAGGAGGGACACGAGCAGAATCACCAGCACTGGCTGAAGGTAAATATGTCTTTGGGGGAAATGATTATTCAGATCCATGTGAAAAGTTACGGTTTAAGTGAAAAATGATGTCTGCTAAACGTAACTTAAGGAAAATGTTCTGTGCATATTATTGAACTGCTAAAAATGTCTCTAGGAAATACCCGATATTGTTTAGTTTCTGGCTTAGAATGGGAAGTAATGTAGATTAATTGAAACTTTTTTTTTACAGCTTCCTTTCAATAGGAGAGGTATGTGTTTTTCCTTGAATTCTTTTCTAAGTCATTTTAGCTATCACCAGTATAGTTGAGCAGGAAAAGTCTAAGCCATAGTTCTAGTAATTAGAAATAAAATGTGTGGGTATATTTTGAAGCTAGCTAGAAGGAAAGACATTTTTACATACTTTCGTAATATAAGAATTCTACCTATAATGGATTTTGGTCCTTTTATAAAATCGTAAAAGTAAAGAATGCAACAGCAACAGTAAATAGTCACTGTTAAAGGGTCCTGAGCACCTAACCATTTACAATCCTGTGATTGTTTTAATTATAACAAGTTAATAGGTATTTGAAAATTAATTTTTCTATAGATATACTTTGTCTTGTCTAAGTGAAAATAATCAGCTTTAAGTCCCTTTCTTTTTTTCTAATCATAAGCAAGTATTTATATTTTAAAACTCACCTGTCATTTTATTATAATGGATATGATTATGACAGTTATGGTCATTCTTTGGAATTGCAATCACCTCACCCACACTCTCTGTTATAGGGCAGGGGTTACCACCCTTTTATTTTGTTGTTGTTTCATGAATTCTAATAATGATCCATGATTTTATGAAGTAAAATGCATAGAATTAAAAAAGAAACCCGTTACTATTGAAATACAGTTAACAAATACTAAAAATAAAAATTTTGATCATTATATATGCTTTGCACAGTAGAGAATAAGCTTTAGTGACAATTTAGTTAAGTACTGTAATTTTAAATAATGATAAAAAATAAATAATGATGAATTTGTAGTAATTGTAATATGAAAATATCTGTGATTTTTATCAATGACACATTCAATAGATATTTCTAATCCTACTGTGGCTTGTTGCCTATAATCCTAATTGAAGGAATTGCTAAATTTCACATAAAGGTTAGTAAGAAGTTTCCCATTCAGGTTCACAGATCACCGAATTCTCTCTCTGAACCTCAGATAAAGAACTCCTATTAGTGAAAAATCCATTAGACCTTTCTTTCTCCATCATGTTTGAGTAAGTGTAAAGTTTTTTATGTCTGTATAACTAATCTTAAATAAGTAGAGTTACACATCCATTCCTTAGGAAATATCCTAACAGAAATAGCTTTGAAAAAACTTCTAGTTGCTAATCAGTAATCACAGAAATAGCAACATAGTCTGTAGAAAAGGGAGTAGAAGAGGGTTATACCTTGGAGAGACCCTGCCTTCAGAGAACTCACATTCTAGTTCAAGGAATATGAAATAAACATGTAAAAAATAACATTACCAGTTTAAGATACTGAAAGTTTAACACAAGAAATGTCATAATTGTCATAGGGAGGATGCAAATAGTAAGTGCTCTGATGTTTGTGTTACCGAAGCACAAAAAAAGGTCAAGACTTGTAAAATGTCACCAAGTGTCTGCCAGTTGCTTGTTTTGAATAGAACATTTGTGGGGTTTTTGTTTTGGGTTTTTTTTTTTTTTTTTGGTTGTGGTCCTTTGATTCTTTCTATCATTGTAATCTGACTCTGATACCATATTTTAAAGATGTTCTTAAAAGCCACGCTGTCAAGCAGCACAGGGATTGTTTGGTTAGTATGGTTCCAGGAGGCCGGTGAGAACTGGGACCAAGGAGGAGAAATTAGCAAGTTTCAGCTTCATGCAAGTTTTGTGTGGTGGTTGAGGATGGGCTTCATGTCAGATTAAGTGTGTGTCATTTGATTATTGGCTGAAGTTTCTAAAAAGTTTTAAAAAATTGACTCAAGTCTAGAAAGGTGTCATTTGAAAACAGAATGACTTCCTCTTTGGATGTACTCATGCAGAGTAAAGTATTTAAGTGAGACTCGATCACAGCTTGGCATAAATAATAGATGTTGTAGAATACATTCTTACTAAGGTTAGATGGTCAAGCTTGAGTCTTCCATTTTAATGCATGTCTTAGTTTGGTCTGCTTTAACGAAGGACCACCAATTAGGTGGTTCATAAACAACAGAAATTTATTTCTCACTGCTTTGGAAGCTCAAAATCAGTCCAAGGCCAGTGTGGATGGTCCCTTCCTGGTCTAAGATTTTCTTATTCATTGATGATTGGATATTAAGCCTTTCTGTCTGGTATCTTTCACTCCTCATGGTGACTGTTAATGTTACGGAGAAACCACAGGGATGTCCCTGGCGGTCCAGTAGTTAGGAAGAGTGCTTCAAGTGCAGGGGGCAAAAATTTGATCCCTGGTGGGGGAATTAAGATCTGAATTTGCTACATGGTACAGCCAAAAAAAAAGAAGAAGAAACCACAGTCCATCAAAAAAAAAAAGGAATTCTTGCTTCAGAGAATACCTTTTAATTCAAATTATGAGGGAAAGTGGACAAATTTTTTTTTTAGTTAAAAAAAATTTTTTTTAGCCGTGCTTTCAAGACCTTAGTTCTCCAACCAGGAGTCGAACCTGTGCACCCTGCAGTGAAAGCGTGGAGTCTTAACCACTGGACCACCAGAGAAGTCACTGAAGGGCAGCTTTTAAGAGCCTGTTAGCCATCACAGTCATGATGTACTAACTAGGGGTTCTGACTTGTGCATATCAAATACTGGCACATTTCTTTGAGCTTGGAGGTCTCCTGCTTTCCCCCTTCCTTCCTGCTCTGACATCTCTGAGGGAAAAGAATGATGGTGGGTTCTTATTTCCTCCTTTTCACCACCTTGAGACCTCCTTACCTGGGAGTGAGGCCCAAGTTCCTTGAGAATGAGGCAGAATGTGTATATGTAGTGGACGAAAACGTCTCTGTAGCCCTTACCCTCCCCGCCAAGATATGTTAAAAGGCGATTTTTCTGAGGATGAATGTTAGGTTTTAGGATCAAGATTTTAAGAATTTTGGCTCTCACTGCTGTAATGCAAAATAACATGAGAAATACCAATGCATATTTGTTCAGAGGTGATAAAGAGTGTTGTGGGAAGATAACATTGCTGTCTAGACCAGCTTTAACGTGTTAGCAGTAAACCTTTGCCTGTTAGCCTTGTCCTTAATTAAGTTTCTCAGCTTCTGTGGCGGAGAAGGCAATGGCACCCCACTCCAGTACTCTTGTCTGGAAAATCCCATGGAAGGAGGAGCCTGGTAGGCTGCAGTCCATGGGGTCGTGAAGAGTCGGACACGACTGAGCGACTTCACTTTCACTTTTCACTTTCATGCATTGGAGAAGGAAATGGGAACCCAATCCAGTGTTCTTGCCTAGAGAATCTCAGGGACGGGGGAGCCTGGTGGGCTGCGGTCTATGGGGCCGCACAGAGTCAGACACCACTGAAGCGACTTAGCAGCAACAGCAGCTTTTGTGGAACTTATAGTTTAATTATTCCTTTGTAGGTAGCACATTCCATAAGCTTACCGCCTACTTTGTAAAGTTGCAGTTTGTTTCATTTGACCTAAAGCTGCACCTTTTACAGATGCCCTTGGTTTAGATACGTTCTTCTTTGATGAACAAGCTTTTTTCACTTGAATTTTAATTCATTCATTAATTCAACTAATGTTTATTGAGTAGTGACTATATAATAGAATGTCTGCTGGAGGCTTGAGTTTATTTAGGAATTTAAAAGCTTAAAAAGAATCCCATGAATCTACCAGCCATTGAGGGACTAGAGTATTCCCTAAACCTTTGAAGTTTCCCATTCCTGTGGCCCTGTGCCTTCCCAGGGATAACCAGTATCCTAGATTCCATTGCCTTTTAATGTATGTATTTTTATCACATACAGGTATTGATATATGTAATTTTTTCCTGATTTCAAAATAGTGGTAGGTTTTAAGAAAGTGAATTCAGAATACTGCTTTTGTTCAGTGGTCATAGTTTTTAAAGAAAAACCTTCATAATAAATCCTTATAAAACAGGTGATTTTGAGTTTCAGAATTTTTTTTTCATGTTTCCATCATACACCATCTTATACACTGAGTCACTTACTTAGAACTTTGTACTCGCCCTTGTCATATCCTGTGTCTGTCCCTGAATGCAGCACACTCGAGCAGGAAGCATTTCTTTGCTTTCTTCTAAATTTGCAACTCAGGCAGCTAATTTGCCTAGTGGCTTAATTTTTAATGGCTGTGTGTATGGAAGAGTACCCGTAATCTGTGAATCAAATTCAAAGATGCCAGGACAGTCTGATGTAATATTATTTTATCATGGTTCCCTTTCATTTAAGGAGCAATATTGGTCTCCTAATTTATTGTACTTATTGCACATAACCAGGCATCCTAGTGAGTCTTTTACTTAAAATAGCTTAACTAAGCTTATTCATTTTTAAATACTAAATTTAAGTGTATCCACTAGATGTCAGCATTAGGAAAGGTGTATCGTACTATGTGTAGAATCACAGAAGAAATGTGAGAGGTTCAGTCTGAGTAGTAAACTGACCTGTGTAAAGTCACATATTTTGTGATAGAATCAGAACTAGACATCAAAATCCCCCAATTTTCATTCCGTTCTTTATGTCACATAAACAAAGTTATTGGCCTTTTGTTTAAGGCCAATAACTTAACTCCCTGTAATCGCTAGACTAATAAAATATATTGATCTTGACATGTGCTTGTGAGATTTTAGTACTACTATAATGATACTGTAGCTGGGCACCCAGAAACACCTAGATCCTGCTTCTTGCTCTTTATATTTTTCAGAGTAAGGAGAATCAAAGTGTTACCTTATTAGGAGCTACACTAGTACCTGGTGATGCTAGATTAGAAGTATTGGTAAGGTTAAGAATTAAGTTATTCTCTTTGAGTTCCTCTGTATAAGTCAGATTTCAACCAGGAAGGCAGAAATCTTG